CTGTGGAGAGAAGACAACTGTTGAGCTGTCCTAAGTGAAAATGCCACCCACTGCAGTAAGGTGCTGACAGATAATTACAATCTGGCAAGATTTACAGGTCTGGCACTCTGCCCTTTCTACAGAATACCCAATGACAATGAAAGCTCAGTGGGGGTAGAGTCATATCTGCCATAGAAATTTGAATTTATATTTATTAAAAACAGCTTGAAAACTATACAATCATTTATGGGTGAAATCCTGGTCTTTCTGAAAGTAATGGGAATTTTGGCAACAACTTCAATGAGGGTATCATTGATATCTTCAATTTAGATATCACATCTGTAACTGTCTCATCTTTCTGATTTTGGCAATACTGCAGGGTCAGACCATCACAGGAAATGTGGGTTGTCTGAATTATTTATTGCAAATAATAGCTCGTCCTAATTTAGTCCTTCCATCCAAGCTGATTCTAATTTCTGCAAGTGTATTCAGTATTAACAAGGATTATGCAAACAAATTTCAAGTTATGGGTTGTTCTTGAACTGTCATGTTGACTATTTGCTATGGCTGGTGTGTGATTGGTCAGTGATATCACATGCTACTGTTTCTGCTCCCTGACTTCAGGAATTAAACTTTTTCAACAGGAAAATGATGAATAACACATTTCCAATATAATTTTTTTGGATGGGCTGTCATGAGTGGGTGACCATCCAAATAATACGATCCCAGAGGAGTAACAGCAAATTTGTCACAGTGCTAGTATATGGGTGACATTTGCAAACGAGTTGTTCGTTATTCACACAAGAAACAAGTCTATACTAGGTAAACAAATTTAAAAAAATCAGAAAATAAACTAAAGGCATTATAAAATATAGAACAACAGGTTCCATATAGTGTAAGAGATTTTTTGCTTACAACTTATTTATAGCCTGCTTTGGTCAGTCTTTTCACACTGTCATAAGTAGGCCTTTTGATTTGGGCCATAAAATGCTACCTCAATGTAAATGAAGGTGGCAGGGTCAATATCAGTGTTGCCAACTCTCAGCATTGTATTGTGAGTCTCCCATTATTTGACATTTTTCTTAAAGACCCAGCTCTGTGTGGACCAGAGATTTTGAGAAATGCAGGTTTTTCCTCCTTCCCCTCCCCCACCCATTGTTTTAGTTCTAGCAGTTAAGAAAAGCTTGAAAATGTGCCTGTAATCCACAGAAAAACAGAAGGCAGAGGAAAAGAACCCCAACTCTATTATTTCTAAACAAAATCTCAAGATTTTAGGGGGTCTGACATGATTTGCAAAAGCTTGAAGGCAGCAGTATTGAAATCAGGCCTTTAATTTGAAAATCTTTCACCTAGAGACAGAAGGAAAATGGATTCTTCCTTGTCACAAGTTACACAGCTTTAAAAAGGTAGATGGTTAACAACGCTTTCTAAAAATCATCTTATCAAAAGGACGGTGGCAAATTAATCTGTCAAACACTGTACAAATAACACAGAGATGATGTATAAAATTGCCTTTATACAAATTAACAAAATAGCCAGTTTTATTTGCAATTACATTTCCCATTCTGTTGCATTGCAGTGTATAAAATAAGCACATCAAATGCTGTCAGAGCAGTCATCCTCAGCCTTCGCTCACACATTTTTAAGATTGCTTTGCATATTTGTACTAATGAGCATGAATAAATATGCTTCAGCTTTATTTTTACTGCATTGAAGAAAATTCTACTGTCTGTGCCATTAAAATGTCCACTTTCTTAATCCTATGTTATTTTTTTGCATCATTCCCATGTCTTGGTCTATCAGTTTCCACAATCAAATGCATCAATTACTTTAATGTACTGTTTGGACTTGTTCTTTTATTTTTTTAAAAGAAGATTTTCTTCACTGGCTACATATGATTAAACTAAAAGCTAGAAACTGTTCATTTCTACCCCGTTACTAGGGAAGTAAAGGTTACTAAGGGAAGTGGTGTTTTATCACACATTCAGCATTGCACAAAAATAGTCTAAATGTTTGCATTAGAGAAAGGCTCAACTTTTATTTTCCTATAAATTTAGTACCAAAAGGAGCTATTTTGGATATTGGGAATGGTGTTTTCTGTCCAATACATACTGCAGCTTGTATGACAGTGAAAAATATTATGTAAAAGTCTAAAATGAACAAAGGCATAGCTAAACATTTCATAAACTAGACAGTTCTCTAAAGCTGAGCCACAATTTGGTGGGGGTGGGGAGACAACACATCAGACATCATAAAGACTTATGCTGTGCAGCCCCATCAGCCCAGCCCCCTGTGAGATCAAAAACCATATGTGCTGCTTTGTTGCAAATGACCCTTTTTCATAACCGGGTTTGTTGCTCATACTTTAAGTAAATTTAGTACTGGTGAAAGTTGATAGATTGACAGCGCAGCCTACACCTAAACTCATCTACTATACACAGTACAGTTAATAGAAGAGTCAGGTGTCTCACACTAGGCCTGATTCTCCGTCTTGCACTTTTGTGTGCTCAGATTTGTGGATGTGAAGCTGCTACCATATTAGAATTCTCTTTTCACAGGGTGAGGAATGTTTTGCAGCCACTGTGCACTGATAGAAATGGCTACACAAGATGCAAAGTAATAGAAAATGGGGCCCAATATTCTTCAAATCTGATCCATGAAATAATGGTGCTTGCATACATTCAGTTCTTTGTCTCTCTTAAAATGGGGCCCAATATTCTTCAAATCTGATCCATGAAATAATGGTGCTTGAATACATTCAGTTGTCTCTCTCACCTTAGGACTAATTCACATTAGTGGTGATGTTATCACCTATTGGAAACTAGGCTGGAAACACATATACTATAAGCCCCAAAACCACTAGCAGCTGGTGACACACTTCTGCCATTATTGACCTGTAGTGCATTTGGACCAGTGACCTAAAGGGAAAGGGTCTATATCCAATTACCAGTTGCTTGAGCCATTCTAAAGTCACTTATACATGTTCTCTCATACTCTTTGAATTATAATTCATCAGATAGCTATAGGTCAAGTTCATGAGGCATCAATCTAAATGCATGCCATAAAAGGTAATGTGAAGTTACCAGCCAGAGTACCACAAATGAATGACATTAAACCAGCTGAGCTGGTCCAAAGCAGTATAGCTTGTTGATTAAATGAAATTATGGTAATTTACACTAATCGAGGATCAGTCAGTCCTCTGTGTCTAATGCTCTAATTCTTTTAAATAAATTGCTATGGTTTTCTTTGCAAAGATGAACCAGTTTAAATAAATGCTCACCGCCACTCTAATGCACCACAACTTGCATACATATAACAGACTGAAACACAGTTTAGTCATATGCTACTTCCTGTGCTGGTTGATTAATATCAGAAGCTAGGACGTGATTGCCTAAACGATTTTCAGATACTCAATTAACGGGTTTCCTGTACCTTTGCTACAATTCATGAAGCAAATGAAAGCCTTTAAAAAAAAAAAAAAATCTACCACCACAAGCAAAGATAATTTTGTCTAGTGGACCACCCTAAACATAGTGGAAATTATCTTGAAGCCAACATATGATTTTCCATCGATAACATCAGCTTTTCACTGAGTCCCAGTTTAAAAATATTAAACATTTCATACAAAATGCTGAATGTCTTCAATTTTCATTTGACTTCAGAAGACGTTAAGGCCATTTTCACTGAGTCCCAGTTTAAAAATATTCAGAATTTTGTATGAAATGTTTAATGTCTTCAATTTTCATTTAACTTCAGAAGACGTTAAGGCCACACATCTTAAATTGACCCTTTATTCTGTTCATAAGCATTTTAAGCTAGAGGAACGGAGGCCCATTTGGCTAGTAAGAAATCACAGCAGTTAACAGTAGAATTTATCCTGCAGGGAGGGAGTGCCCTATTGTCTCTCGAGTTCAGACTAGGCACACAGACCATCTTGTAGGATTAGGTCCCAG